AGTGTTGAATAGATCTGTGATTTAAAAGTGGTTGTTACAACTAGAAAAGCACCGTATAAATAGATTTACCTCTATCATTTCCTTGGCAGAGCACAATGGGAAAAATACGCCCGTGACACCTGAGTTCATCAGAGTAAACATACTCCCATTATACCGCAGATGAGGCGGTAAATAAGCAAAGGACAACGAGGAATAAGAATACCTCAGCAGTGCATCATAAACTGCTGTTCACTGTTTGGATGAAACTGTGCGACAAATCACACACGAGCAACGTGGAGCATCGAAGAGATGCTGAGCTTGTGCAAGAGGTAAGATGGAGAAACGGACGAGCAGTTGAACGATGTTCGGACAGTTAACATCCAGATGAACAATGTGAGGTTTTAGAGGAAGAAAAATATTCTAACCAGAAAGTAATCACTGACATTTTCCTTTCAGCTACCTTAAAAACAAATCTAGAAATTAAACAGTGCTGAAACAGAAGCATGTTTCATTTCACACAACATGTTGTTGGCTCAAAGAGTTTCTCTACATCAAAACTACATAAACGGCGACCGCCCGTAAAGTTAAAACCTCCGACAGGTGAAGTGAACAACATTGATTATCTCGCTGCAATGGCACCTGTCAGGAGGAGGAACAGGAAGTGAACGGACGGTTCTTGGAGTTGATGTGTTGGAAGCAGATAAAAATGGACAGAAGTGAGTGACTCTGACGACGGCCGAAGACGACTGGGTCAGAGGATGTGTAAGAAGTAGTGGGGGGGGCTGCTGGTTTGTAGTGGTTAGTTTCCATTGAAGTGATGAACTGGCAGTAGGGTCATGAAGGATCACTGATGCATTATGGGAGCAAAAGCTGGTGTCTGTGGTAAAACCGTTCCTACGCGGCCGGTCGCCCCGACACATACCGGACCGAGTCACAGTGAAATGGCAGCACTTCAGGTGAGTTTTGCACTTATTCATATCAGAACATTTCCATTAAGTTGAAATGTTAAATATCAATTTCCAGTTCGCCTCAGTAATAAATGAGCTGTGCTTTTTAAAATTTTATTTATTTAAAGAAGAACAAATCAATTCTGGCACCTTAGTTCTAAAAAAACTGAAGAGCTTATCATTATTATTAATTAAATAATACCGATGATGCAAACGACTAAGATCAAAAACATAAAATATAAGAAGATAAAATAGTTACAAGAAATGGCTTAAAAATGGAAGTACAATCAATTTATCTGAAACCAAATCTTTCTCTAAAACAAACATTAAGGTTCCATAAGAATAACCATGTTTTTATATCTGTTATAATGATGATGAATGTTTTTGGCCAATGAGACAAAGACGAATATTTAAAATATATATATTTTTTAGTAATCCTGGCTCGTCAGACTCAGCTGAATTAGATTTATAAACAATTTAATACTTTAATGAGTTCAAGTGAGTAAATTCACCAAACTCCACCATGTTGTGTTTTAAACACAGAAATCTGAAAACAAAAACCTAATGGCTCATTTCATTTCAGGGCCCGTTTGTGTGAAACATCTGGCTGATAACATTCACTTACTGTGATGCATATGTATGTAAGTTATATTGGTGATTATACGTATTAAAAAAAAGGTGTTTACTGCGTCTCACCGGAGACTAAAGTTAAAAAAAAAAAAAAAAAAAATCCATGCACTTTAATATCTGCGTTCATTTCTTCACTCTATGTGTCCATTTCCATCAAACAACAGATTCCCCATTAGTTTAAAGTGCATTTAGAGCCATCTCCCAAACAAGTGGTGGATGGCTGCAATAAAGACGAGTTCAGGCAGCTGTGACCTTGGAACCAAACTGCAAGTGGCCAACGTGACTTTGTGGGCTGCAGGAAAAGCCTTTATTTATAGATCAGCTGGGTGTTGATCAAACTCCATCAAGGGGGAAACGGCTGTTGTGGGAGACGAAGAAATGGAGGAGAAAGGTGTGTGTGTGTGTGTGTGTGTGTGTGTGTGTGTGTGTGTGTGTTGCTGGGAGGGTTGTGTTTTAAAGAACTAATACAGTGGTGTGTCTGAATCTCAATTAATTCAATTTAAAGGAAATTGATTTGGAGGTTGGGAGGATGGTGGTGGTGGAGGTGGGTACACAGGGTTCTTCTCTCTTTCAATTACAATCGTAATGAAGTCCTGGCCTCGTTTCATTCGTTTGCGTCCTTCCTCGCCGCTACATCCAGCCCTGTGCTGTTGTGTTATGATATGCAGTAATAAGGGAAGAGATAAAACCTTAATGATCCCCGTGCAACAAGTAGCAGGAGTAAAAAAAACATGGAACATAAATATTAAAACTGAATATAAATAAAGATTACCATCGACTGGAGGGATCCAGCATAAATACATACAACTGCTTATATGACTGGAACTATGAGAGTCAGATGGAATACAAGGTAATGTGCTGCAGAATATTTCCAATTCAGTCATGAACGAAACTGATAAAACACCTGGAGTTTTAAAGAGACACTAATTATTAATTTCTAGGCACCAAACGTGGGTTATTTGTCATATTTCTTATTTAAACTCCACACAAAACAATATAAATAAACAAAAGTGCCCTCGTCGTGAATTATTTAACACGGAACATGATTTAGAAAAATGTGAACAGGATGCAAAATACTGCATCATCGTTTTCTCGCAGTGCATTTTACCTGGTTTTACCTGCGATGACCCACTTTCTCCACATGCACTGACGCATCTTTTCAATTTCAACGCATTGCTCTTTTTCTGATTCCATTATAACTGTCATCTGGATTCAAATTAATGTTGTAGGGGAGCAGCGTGTTGTATTTTGACCAAATTGCAAGTGAAGTGCAGAGACAGATCACAAACAAATGTGGGCAAGATGCTTTTTTTTGTTCTTTTTTGTTTTTCCTACCTTAAATTTAAGCCTAAATAAATTATTAATTCTAACGATCTATTCCCTGTTATATTCCCTGTATGATATATATATTGATCCATTGCTTTTTATAGATGTTAATGAACTTTGCATCATCATCAATCATAAAATTGAGTCCTCGTTTACAATATGTTTCCTTCTTGTGTAATTCATTGGACTGACAATTCCGTTCACAATTCAAATTCATGCTTATCCACTTCAAACTGAAACAAATATTTAATTTTGTATGACAAAAAAAAAAAAAGAAATAAAGAGCCAGTTCCACCTAAATGTAAATTACAGCTCTGATTTAATTCCTCTCCACCAGGAAACCCTCACTTATCACAGCATCACCGGGCAGCTTGTAGATGTAGTCGTTTTGCTGCGTGCACGCTGAGGCCGATGAGAGCAGGGGAGGTTCATGTTTTCCACGTTCGTACGGGAGAATCAAAGGCAGCCGAGAAACTCTGCGAGGCTCGAAAGGCTTCTCAGACAGCGAGGCGAGAAAAACAAGTGCGATCGGTGCCAGGACTGTTAACAATCACCTGCATGTGCCCACCTGTGGTTTCGAAAATAGCACGCTCACAAAGAGCCAGTGTGCAGGAGGAATTAAAACTAATCCAGAAATTATCTTTATAAAATGAAGACTTTGGAGAACGTTCACTCAAGGACATGAGGTTTTAGAGCGAGCGTGGATCTGTAATTGTTATATATTTATATTCCTCTGTCTTTACTATGAGCGTACACACTGCCACACATCCATACTTCAAAACGCTGCCAAATCCCGTCGAGTCGAGCCGAACGCTCTCGTTCACGATGATCAAATTGGGATTCAGTGAAGGTAGAAATGAAATCATTACTAAAAGACCATCATCTTAAGCCTGCATCTCTGGGGAGAAGTGAGAAGCCTGCTGCCCCAGATTGCCTAAAAATGCAGATAAGAAACGATCCTGCTCCAGAAATTGGTCCTGCAGGACTATTACAATGGAGAGATTAGTGGAAGATAATCATATAATGGCGATGATAGCGCCGATCGCAACAAAACGGCTCCATAAAGTCACCTCTGAATAAAGAACAGGCGATACAGATGAGTGGGAATAAAGCAGGGAAGTGCTTCAGCTTGTGCTGGGGGAGCATGTGTGAGACAGCTGTCTACAGGGCCCCGGTGCTGCCACTGGCCAGCAGGGGGCGCTCCTCTGTCTCTCCACACACACACTGCACGGTTCCCACTGGAGAACCAGAGCAACGGTGGAAGGAGAGAAGTCCTCACATGACCCCTCAGTTCACAGGAGTTTGCCTCCAGCGAAAAGCCTCTTATATGGTATATGGTGAGATTTAACAGTCTCGGTGTCCGACCGCTGAGACCGTTAATGGTGGAGAATGGAGATTAGAAAGTAGTTTAGAGGGTCAGGTGTTTGTTGTGGAGCGCTGGGGTCAATGAGGGTAAACGCTGTTTCTCTAACACGCTCTTTTTACACATTCAGGTTTATACACACAAGTTGCATTACGAGGAAAGTGCTGCGATATGAGACCTGCAGAGTGAGATTCCTCCACTTGTTCCAGATGCATTTTCTCTTCTTTTTACTTTTTTGTTTTTCCAGAAATCGATATCTTGAAACAAGACTGTGAATACCTCAGAAATGACTTCACACTGGAAGATTAGTGAATTCAAATGCCAAAAAATGCTGTGAACTCTTTGAACTGCGAAGTCTTTGCAAAACAAGGGTTTAATTAAGAGTTAATCTAAGACTAATGTCCTGGTTAATATCAACAGATTGAGAAAAATGTAACAAGACAGCAGAAAAGCACAGTGTTCAGAAAGAACAAAACAAAACATACTGACTTGTAAGTAAAAGAACATAGTTGGCAGGTCAGGTTGTACCTGCTCTTTATTTTGGCTTTTTTCTTCATGTCATCTTTCATCGCACGAATAAAATAAGCCAGTTTTTAATAATTCCAACTTAAGCTGCCTGATAAATTTGGAAAAACAATCTGATATCCTAGAGTTCAAATGAAGAGTTGAGTCCAAGCGACTCCCACAACATTTTTCAGATTCACTGAATAATCCACATTAACTCTGCAGGGTGACCTCTCGCTGACAGGGTTCACTTAGGAAATCCTGCTACAGGGAAGAACCCTGAAAGGTGAGTCAGTGTAACGATGGCCCCTCTGAAGTGATAAGACAGAACAGGAAGACGCTGCAGGAGGAAACCAGATAAAGGATTTTCAGTCTGTGCCGTTATTCTACATTTTCTCCAAATCTCATGAAAAGACCAAAACCCACCAAAAAATCCATTCCTCTGAATCTATTTACTTCCCCATCCTGTTGGCGTCTGGGTCTATTCATAGTTTCTTTTTAAAAAGCTGCAGTAATTTCCTGAAATACCTGGACACAGATGAAGCTTATTAATCGGATCAATTCGCTGCCTGACAGTAACACAAACAGCACAAAGGCACTTCTATCTGTTCACCTCCTGGAGCAGAAAGATTCTTTGATGAGCTTTTTATTTGTTCCTCGAGCGTCATTAAGAATCATTAAGACCGTTAATGAAAGACACTACGAGATGTGTGTTTAATGTACAAAGGTGGAGAATCGGGAAAACGATTGTTGACATGTTCTCCTCATCTCCTCTTCTTGCCCCGTCATCTCTATCTTTAGCTCTTCCTCCACTTCTCAGTCTCCAGGCCATATTTCTCCACGGACAGAGCCCAGGAAATTATAGTGTGGCGTGGGAGGGAGAGCGCACTACAGCTCCCTGACCCAGACTCGTTGCCATAAATCTACACTTTTTTTGGGGGGGGGGAGGAGGGGTACGCAGAGTCCCACCTTGACCCCCCCATCGCTTCCTCAGTACATCTGGTCTGCAAACACGCCGACCGTCACGCTGGACGGAAACACGCGACATACGCAAACACAGACTCTCACACTCCGCCGGTCAGGAGCGAGTAACAGAACCAGCAGTTGTGACTTCATGCATGGAGCTTTGTGATCGAGGAAAAATTATGCAAACGTTACATTCTTCCGTTGCTGATTGACTCATGGGACATTATGGTAATTTTCACCTTTTGCTGTGTATAAAAATAGTAAAGAACGATTCCTGCCTCCGCCCCGTTTCATCTAATCTGTTCACGGGTTCTTCCTTCGTCCACACACCTCACCCTTCCACCAAGTTTCAGGAGAATCAGTTGTGTAGTTTTTGTGTAATCCTGCTGACAGACAGACAAACACAACATCCTTCAGGACTCTTGTTTTTCATGTTTACATCTGTTCTTCGTACGCTTCCTTCTTGTATTGATTTTGAGACCAGACTTTGTGATGGTCTCAGCACCAATCATGTCAAAAAGACAAAGTACACAGATGCTGATTCAAACCTCATGCTTTCTGCTGTTTTCTGATTCATCACCTGATCGTTTCAAAAGTTCTAATAAAACCTGCTTCCTTACATCGGATCTATGTGAGATGTAAATAACACGTTGTTGTTGTTGGAGAGGAACAAAACACAAACTATGTTGGTCAGTGGTGGAATTCAAATTAAATCCAGGACTTTTGTTTGGACTTTCTCTCTTTTTTCCTCCTTTCCCTCCTTTTCTACCCTGTTTAAGATTCCTGGCCTTTCACCTGACCCCAGGCCTTAGCCAGAGGAGGGCTGGGGGGAGCTGGTTGCTTACGTTGGTGGGGGTTAAAGTGTAATCCTGGTCCTGTGACCACAAAGGCTTGGCCCCTGAGGGCCAGGGACCAGCCACATTTTCTGAATTGCAATGTTATCCCTCAGCAAACCCTTTGGATTGACTACATATCAAAAGGATTACATTGCAGGGCTCCTCTCCGCTCTGTCTGGTGTTTAAAGATGGCCGAGGAGCACGAACCCTTTCCCTCCCCATCAAGGATCCTCAATCAAACCGTTATGTTTTTAGATTTTGGTTTGGCCTCTTGTTTGTGTGTGGGGGAGGAAGATTATACAACACAACAAAACCTCTCCAGAGCCTCGTTTGGAAACTTGTCATCAGCACGAGAAAGAGCAGGAGAAGCTTTCTGGATTATATCAGATGCTTCTGTCCAACAAGTTTCACATCAATCTATTAACAAGAGTAATTGCCACATAGCATCATTACAACTGACACATATTTTAAGCCATTCAGATGCTGATATCTGGCTGTTAGTGTACTGCTAATTGCTTGCTTAAGTAATCCATTAAGGAGTGTTTCTACAACAGCTTGCATGCTCCATTATCATTAGTTTTATTCTGAGGAAACCTTAACACACCCTTTTTAACAGCACCGCGGCTTCGCCCTGAGCGCCTCTTTGAATTTAAACCTAAAGAATTTGCTTTTTTTTTTTTTTTTTTAGGGAGCAACTTCAGAAGACAGAGAGAACTGAAGCGAAAGAGAGAAAAGATTTAATTGACGCCTCCCCCATTTTCCCAGGGTGAAGACAAGAGAGAGGAGGACTGGGGGTGAGAAAAGAGAAGGGGGTGATGTGACACTGCTCTCCTGGTGTTGCGACTGTACAAAAGGAAGCAGATTTGCAGAAGAGGTGACCCCTAACCTCTAAAGCTGCAGAAAGGGTCCTTGATGGCCCCGGCACCGACCAATCAATCACTCCCAGAGCCTGGTGGTCAGCCGGACTGTAAGAGGACACTGCAGTCGGACCAGTGGAGCCACCCCCAAACATTCCTCGGTGGCAAAGCTTTTCTTCCTTTTTTTTGGCCGAGGGTGGGGAGGGGAGTTTGATAATTAAGACTTTACGGCTTTACAAGAATTTTCTATAAATAATAAACTTGTTGCATCCCGTCAAACTCCTGAATTAAACTTTAGTGTCAGGATTTTGTCAATGATTAATTGCCACTAATCTAAAATAGCAGCAAACATGTTCCAACAATGATGGAGCCTCTTCACACGTTGGCCTATGAAATAAAGTCAATCATTTTGCTTCTTAACTGACTCTTCTTGAAAAAAGAAAATCCAAAACTTTTGAAGGCAATTGTGGATTTTTCCACTTCTCGTTTACAGTAAACACTCCTCTTTTGATAAAACATGCCGTAGTTATTGTAATTCATTGGAGCTTTCTGACTTTTCTGGATAAAATGGAGATATTAATGACAACTATTTACACACAAGACATTATTTCTGTTTTCTTTGTCAAAGTTTGTTCTTCTTTCTCATATTTGTGCATCTGAAATGTAATTTTCATCTCCTCTTGCAAAAGAAATATTAAAATCAATATCATTCATTTGTAATTTGGTGATTTATTTGGCATCAAACTGTAACTTTCCATTGCCTCCTGTTGGCTGGTGAGCTCCACTGCAGTGCGGGGGACTCCTGATTGTCCTCTGATAAAAGTTAGTCAAGGTCAGCGTGCAGAGAACAGCTGGTCGCTGACTTACGAGTGTGTTGCTCTTTGCATATTTGCTTGTGAATAAATTCATAATTAAATGCTAAATTAATTTTCGAGAGAACATTTACATATTGGAAACAAGAGAGCGAGAATGACGGGCAGCAAAGACGACAAGGAAAGTTGCACAGTGATCCCTGACTCTCTGGTGTCACTGGGGGAAATATTATTATACTCAATAAATATACACAGTTCTTGGTCATTGTTTTTCTCAGTCGGGCACATACCCCCACTAAGACCCATCAAGCTGCATGAACTCTTACATATTACTCTGCTGATCATGTCTAATTTCCTCTATTAAGATTCATGATTTGGGAAATTAAACAAAAAATGCCTCTTAAAGTTAAAGAAAGAAATAAAAAGTTCCTGAATCCAGCCCAAGATCCAAATCTGCACCAAAACTTATTGGATTCTTTCTTGACCCGTGTCCAATCCTTCCTGCAAGTGTTGCGAAAACCTGTTTTTAATACTTTACGTAATCCTGCTCACAAACAAACCGACCGTCCATCAATTAAATGGACAGGGGTGAAATCTCAACATTTTCCTGCCTCAGTCAAGAAGCAACGGTAGAAACCCAGATGTTCACTTTGCACTGCGTGAACATCGAGACCTACGTCACTGAGTTCCATATAGCTTCCTGGTCCTTCACAAAGTTTAACCTTAAATCAAAGAAGGTCGCAGCATAAACAAAGACTCTTCACTCAGAGTCATGCATCTTGTTGAAGCGGCTCCACACAACAAATAGAGAGTGAATATAAATGTTTGTTTTGACTGATCTGATATGAAGATCTAGTTGATAACACGTCGTGTACTTTTTCTCAGGGAGACAGTTTAATAACAGCATTCAGGCCTCTTTGCCAAAGAATGTTTAGCAGCAGTGATTTTTTATTACGTCCGTAAATTAATTGGAAACAACATGTTTAACAGCTGAATTTTCACTTGTTACTCTAAAAGCTTTCTTTCATGGCAGCAACTCAGACGACCTGTGCAACTCACAGTCTTCTCTGTTTATGGATGTTGTGAAAAGCTGCAGCAGATATTATAAATTTATGTTTGCTCAGCCTTTGTTACTCGATACGAGATGACAAATTATGATAAAATGGCAAAAAGACACACGATGCCAAAGTCAACAACAGCAATCTGAGATGAAAGCATTCCAGGTCACAGCGGTCTCTGCGAACAGAGCACATAAAATGTAATTTGGGAGAAGAATGCCGGCTAATCAGTCGAACTGCTGATTCACTCTTGACACCACACCTGAGCAAACACGCTCCCTTTGTTTCCACGAGCAAACAATGAAAGAAGAAGTGAAACAAGTCAGAAAACATTAAGAATATCCGAACTCATACTCTGCAGCCATGTTCAAATTAAAACTTTTTTTTCTCCTCCCAGTCCTTATCTAGGATACACTAGTGTGTGTTTTTGTGTGTGTCTGGGTGCAAAGGCCTGACCAGGTGCCATCTATCAAAACAATCTGCTCTCAGAGGGAAACCTGCTATTAACTGATAAGAGTCGGCCCTCGGTGGGGTGTAATGGGTCCCACTTGAGTTCCTTTTCGGAGTATTGTCCTGGCAGGCCACCTCCAAGACAAACCCCAACTCAATGACTCACTCCCCGTGTCACTGCTCGCTGCACGCCACCATGCACTCGTCCAACAGCCACATTCTGTCATTTCTCAAGAATATATCATTATCTTATCATATCATCGGTTTTATGTTACTATGTGCAGACGAGTTTCAGAGGAATAAAACCCTGTGGACCTGGTTTTGCATGTATTAATACTTGCTCTACGAGTCACACAACTTT